CACAGGTTAAAAAAGGGGGAAAATTTGATTGGTTAACTTCCAGTGATGGTTATTTTCTTATATGCAATGAAATGTTATGTGAAATTTTTTCTATAGTACTGGACAGGATAAATCTTTACTCATGCCAAGTATTTCTTTATTTGAAACAAAGACACATTCTGCACAATTTTTTGAAAAGTGCAAATTTAACAAAGACTAATAGGGGAAAATCAATGGTGGTATTACACCTAATATGGGAAGCTGTACATGCACCTTTGACCTTGTGAATACTCTCATGTGTTAAAATTTCTTGCTATTTAAGTGAAATATTACAAATAATGAAATATTCTGAGTGGATTGAGTCTCCAAAATACATTTTATGAGAAAATTTCCTTGAAATAGGACTTTACCATGAATATTAGTTGACAGAACAAGCCATACTTAGAGTTTTGGGGAGCTTTTTCTCCTTATTTCTTATATTCTGCTATACTAGAAAAATTTTCCTAAGAAATACTTTAATAAATATATAGTTTTAAGTAAATGAAATTATTTTTAAAGCAGTAACAACAAATTATTTACCAAAAGAGAAGTTTTTTGTGTCCCTCTCTGGAACGCGGCGTAAATTTAAGTTTTACGTAAGGACTTATTGAAAACTCCTTGGAGACAGTAAACTTTTATACGGATAGTTCATTCAGCTTGAATACTTCAATTAATCATTTATAATAACATTTCTATCATAAATGAGTGAAAGTTACCCCAAAATTTTTATTTATTGGCCTAAAAAGTAGAAATTTTGAGGAAATGAGAGGTATAAATGGACCAAAAGAGACCTTATAAGGAAGACAAAGAGGTCCATTAGTAGTATTTATCATCCTAAAGTCATCTTTTGTATCATATTCAACTGTTTGTAGGCAGATGAGATAAATATTTGATCATTTATTGGTCCACACTATATTCTATCATGATGCGGCTTGGTTTGGATTTTTCGAAGAAATTTTGCTCGAATCGCTGTAGATGTCGTCTTACATTATACTAGATTTTTCTCAAACTATTGAACCGATTATGACAAAACTTGACAGGAATGCTTGAAATAACCAGTATTACAAAGGAAAAAAGTCACATTCAGTTTATTTAACAAAAAAGTCTTCTTTAGGTGTAATACCACCAAATCATAGTACGTCACATCCGGTTGCATACGAAAATAGGTCGAAAAAAAATATTCCCTTGAATTTGACAGTTGTAGGTAATTGATCCTACATTTCATTGCAGTAAAACATTTCTGAGTCATAAACATATATCTTGGGTATTTCAAAGCACCATTATTTCTTTATTTGGGGTTTCTATAGAATATTTTGGAAACTTGAGGTTACATGGTTACTAAAGCTTGTACACAGGTTAAAAAAGGGGGAAAATTTGATTGGTTAACTTCCAGTGATGGTTTGTTTTCTTATATGCAATGAAATGTTATGTGAAATTTTTTCTATAGTACTGGACAGGATAAATCTTTACTCATGCCAAGTATTTCTTTATTTGAAACAAAGACACATTCTGCACAATTTTTTGAAAAGTGCAAATTTAACAAAGACTAATAGGGGAAAATCAATGGTGGTATTACACCTGGTGGAGTTTTTATTCCCCGAGGGTTTCACCAGCCCAGTAATCAGCACTTCTGTGTTGACATGAATTATCATTGATATGGTCATAATTATAAATTAACTGTTTACAAAACTTTGAATTTTTGAAATACTAAGGCTTTTCTACCTCAGGAATAGATTACATTAGCTGTATTTGGCAAAACTTTTAGGAATTTTTGGTCCTCAATGCTCTTCAACTTCGTACTTTATTTGGCCTTTTTAACTTTTGTTTTGTATTCGAGCGTCACTGATGAGTCTTTTGTAGACGAAACGCGCGTCTGAAGCAAATACAAAATTTCAATCCTGGTATATATCTATGATGAGTTTATCTATAGATAATTTACCAAGACCGAAATAATCAGTCGTCTCCTTGTAGGAGTTTTACCCTTAAACGACGATGTTTTTCCATTTTTTTTTTATGTTTTTGCCTATTATCTTGAAATTCCTAATAGATAGAGAGAAAACTTTAAAAAGCATAAACGATCAGAATGGGTAGATATAGATATAGGTATCCAAGACCATAATATTTAGTCTACTTATTATAGAAGTTGTTGTTTTTGAATACTGATAGTTTCCAATTTTTTACTTTTTTGGTAAAACTAAAGTTGATAAAGGGAAACTGCCAACATCAAAATGATCAGCAAGACAAGAGCTACAACAAGAAAGCATAACCGAAATTGTCGGTCGACTCAATATCAAGTTATTATCCTTTAATAATGATTGCGTTTTTTAAAAACTATACTACCTGTAAAATGAAGAGAAACTGTAAACATAAAAAAGGAAGACAAATTCTGCAAAATAGTCAACATAGTCGAAATTCGAGCTTTTGATTTTGCCATTTGATAAGGGACCTTCCGTTTAGAATTTTCCTTGGAGTTCGGTATTTTTGTTATTCTACTTTTTTGTTAGTTGATTCCTTATAAGAGTTATTGTCCTTAAATTCTTTTTTATGCTTCTGACAAAAACTATAGAAGACAGAGTGAAACTGTAAACAGCAAACATGATCAGCAAGACAAGATCTACAAATATACCAAAGGCGAAAATCTCAGTCCACATTTTGTAGGATTTATTGCCCTTAAATTGTGATATTTACCGATAGATAATTGTGAAGTTGGGAAAAAACTATAGCAGATCATATATATAGATAGAGAAACAGAAAATCCTTAACTTAGTTACTGTCAATAAAATCTAATCATACGCCGTCTTTATTGACTCACTTTTACAAACACCCTGAAACATATTTATCAACAGGAAAGGATTTCTAATTGAAGCCGATGATATGTTGAATTAAAAAAAGAATCAATATATGTTGAAATTGAAATGAACATCAATAACTTCAGCCTATATTAATGTCAAACTGACTAAACATTCAACAATACATATAAAATACCTATAGAAACGCCACACCTACGTGTATTGACTAATCGCTGTAGGATTTTGAAGATTTTAAGGATATGTATGAAGAAAATCTGCGACAGTGTCGCCATTCTTAAATACAAATTGCACTTCGTGTGGTAAAATTGAACCACAACGATCCCCTCTTGCAAAGAATATTAACAAGTGTTGCATTTTAACAATTATCTTTAGTTTTCATATTGGCATTTTTTCATTGTGATTACATTTGAAAAGAAACCAGCGTTTTAGACACCGATTAGATTTGGTAATAATATTAAGTTCAAGTATAATAAAAGCAGAAAGAAAATATTCAAATAGCCATGTTGTTTCCTTTAATTCTAATTTTGATCAATAACCACAAACAAAACAGTAGAATTTGATGTTAAATAGTGAGGAACATTGGATAAGAAAAGGTTGTAGCATAGAATCAAAAAAATATATAATATTTAGACATAAAAGAGTGCCAACAGATACCAAAGGATTATTCAAACTCATAAGTCAAATATACACTGACATCACCATGGCAAAAAAAGAAAAAAAGCAAAAAGCAGTATACAAAACACAACATGATAAACTAAAAACTGAGCAAGACGAACCCCACCAAAACCTGGGGATTATCTAAAGTGCTCCGGAAGGGTAAGCTCAATTAGTGGCACCCGTCGTGTTATTCATGTAAGTACAAACCCGGTGATAAGTCTAATTCGGTAGATCACATTCGAGGAAAGAGGACCGGATTGTGGCTACGATATTTAAAATATATCCGTCGTCATTTGTGAAACATTTATTCTATAAAGGTCAATCAACTCGTGATGCCTTCCGTGAAATTTTAGAAAGGATGATTTCAATTTTATCTCTTGGAATTCTTGGTTTAATAGCTTTCTTGTGAGCAGCAACACTCTGTCACGGATAGCATGATAGGAAATGCGAGCTCTGGAATATCGTATCAATTGAGAGATATTATTAGTTACATAGTGTGCTAGTGACCTAATACGGTATATATGGGGTCAGTAAATTCCATATGGGGTGAGAGCGAAGCTCGAATCCCCATATAAAATTTACTGACCCCATATATACCGTATTACGTCACTATCACACTATGTAACGAATTTATCTTACCGACTATCTTAACGTGTGAAATTTAGACTAGTCACCTATCAACATGAGCAAGTCTTCAATACCGTTAGCATTAAGAAACTACTTCCATTGATCGTACAAAACAGATGCCAACAATAACAACTTGTTAGGTTTAAATAAGTTTTATGAATTTATTTCAATCTTTCATCATCACTTTCTTCGTCTGTTGAAACCTTAAAGATTTTTTCTCAGGACCGTTTTGTTTTTATAAAGGGACGTAACACCACTATTAACCGTGTATGAAATAAGCCCCGCCTCCCTACTAACCTAATATGGAATATACAAGGTCTCCACGCGGACGCTTTTAACCAATCATATTCCTAGAAATGTATAGGAGGTAAGATAAATACTCCATATGCAGGCGCTGTTGGAATTTTGCTTCATAGAAATGGAAAGTTCACAATTTGGAAGCTGAAATTATGTTTTTGTCGTAAAGTTTTGTTTTCAACACATCCTCGTTGTCAATTTCTAGATGTAAGTCAAGATATGAGGCTGACTTATTTGTATCTGTTGTATCCTTTTCTCAAGTTCTATAGGATAGATGCGTCCAACATAGTCACCAAACTTTGAATTAGTTAGTGAGAGGACATCATCTCTAAAGCGGAAAGTAACGTTAAAGGATAATGCTAGCGTCTTTTCATTCTTCGAAAGAAGTTCCTGTTTGAAGTAAGCCTCATACAAATAAAGGAACAGGTCGACAAGAAGAGGCATAACATGATTTAATTGATTCTCGAAATTAAGAAACTTTACAATTCTAACAATTTCATCATTGTAGTCTCATTGTAAAGTACAAAGTTTTCCACTTGCACATTATATCTCGTGAATATGAACCATGGAAATTATTTTAATCTTTTCTAGGATTTTCGATTCCCAATATATAGGCAATCGTGAAGAATCTTATCCTATGAATAACAAGATACGTGGGTATTGTATCATTTTCAACGTGGAAGATGTCGGTGGAAGTATAAGAAATGGTACTAATATTGATGCAAAAAGAATGGAAAACAGTTTTAAACATTTAGGATTTCATGTAGTTGTAAAGCACAATCCATCCAGAGCAGTAATTAACAGTACAATGAAAGGTTGTAAGTTGATTTATAATAATTGTTTTAATATACCAATGACACAGCGTAAGTTGTTTTACAATTCAGCATACAAGACTATTAGTATAAAAATAAGGATGTGTGATATGCCAATATTAAACTGATATGAATGAACCTATGAAATCTAACAATAAAACAACTGCTTGATTATTTATTCTGTTTTGTCTTTTGTCTTGAGTTATCGAAGCATATTTAGAATTTTGAATAAACTTCCAAATCAATAGAAAGATAAAAATTCTAGTATGTCAGCAAAAAACGGACTCTCATTCAACAATAACTTTGAATGTGAACATGGTGAAGTACGTGTGTCGTTCAAGTAATGCATAGAAACAAAGACTGAAGAAGATTTATTCTACGTATTTTCCAATGTACAGCGAGGAATATCTCAATTTATAGAGGATAAAATACGATTGCCGACGTAGCAATACTGTATAAAAAAATACGTAAATGTGGCAGTCATATTTTTCAGTTAAGATTTAAGTTAACAAGTGTTTGATTATCGTTTTAATTTCGATGAATTAAATCTTTGTAATTCCCTTTCTGTTTACGTTTTATTTAAAATGTTTCCCTGACTTATAACTATCAGTTCTTAGTAAGAAGGTTCATCAAGGTGTACCACGTAAATTCAATTCTTCGCAATCATAACTGCTTCAATTATAGTCCTGAAACTTGCACATATTATCTTTGGATTAATTAATCTTTATCTATAATTATAAGCTTTATTTTCATATTATGTGCAAAAGAAAAAAACATTGATCATTTGTTCAAAATCCAATAAAAACAGTATAATACTTGGGAAAACGTACCTTATCATTAATTATGATTTTGTAATAATATTCACTGGACTGTACTAACAGCTAATTTCATTCAATATAAAAATAATCTGGTATGATTGCAGATGAGACAACTATCCACCAGAGTTCAAATGACCTGGATGTAAGCAATTATAGGTCACCGCCTTAAACATCGAACAAACCTATACTTATAGTCAGCTATAAAAGGCCCCGATATGACTCAATGTGAAACAACCCAAACAAGAGAGCCAACGGCCTAATTTATAACAAAAAAGTACGAAAAACAAATATCACAGACATGAACCAACGACAACCACTAAACTACTGTCTCATGGACAGGCACCTAAAGAATGTGGCGGGGTTGATATAAATAAGAAGATGTGGTATGAGTGCCAACGAGACAATTAAACCTTAGATGAATTTGGATATTTGTTGTAGGTAATTTTGTCATATAGCTCTTCAACTGTTTCGGTACTTATACATCCCTCGGATTTCAAATGTTTGGCTTTGAGCGTTCCTGATGAAGGTAAATCCAGAAAAGCGCTTCGGACGCATGAAGTTATCAAACGTGTTGTTTTCAATTTTTTAAACATGTTTGTGAGCGCTCAACCCTCCCTTAACCTGGGACAGTGGTGTAACAGCACAACATAAGAAAAAATTGTAAAAATCAGTTGCAAATGGCTCAGATCGTACTTAATATATAGGTAACTTAAAAACAATAGATATAAAGCACCGACATAAAAGTACTCGCATTTATGAAAGCTGGTTCTAAGCTAATTACTACTAAAAATAATTATGTTCTCCAAGACTTACTCTAATTCAATTTATATTCTTATATTATCTATGTTAAAACACCAATATCATTATTTCAGATCGCTCTGTAAATCACAGCAATGACGATTGTTTCGTATGTGTAATTCTTAGTCACGGCCGAGATGAACACATTAGATCAACCAACAATGAAGACGTATCGCTACAAGAAGTTATGGACTATGTTAAAAATTGTCGCACTCTTCTTGGAAAGCCGAAACTTTTCTTTGTTCAAGAAAGATTGGCTCATACGATAGTTGTCCAAATTCATGTTTTCTGTACCTTTTGTAGATAACTTATTCATTGTAGAGCATTTTTGTAATAGTGTTTGTAACTGGATCATCATATTTTTCAGTAGAAAAAGAGTCACTGCGTTCCTTAAACTAGACACAAATTAGTTTTGGACTGGAATTTATGCATAATTCTATAGAAATCAACCATCCACCTAATTAGATAACTACCGGATGGTATAAAATTTGCGATAATGCACAAACAGGACAAATAGAATAGCTTTAAGATATACAACTATACTGACGAAAGATGGAAAATATACAAACAAGATAACAAATATTTCGGCAGATTAAAATACAAGTTACTAAAATAAGAAATAAGAGGCAACTGTAGTTTACAGAAACGTATGTTTACCGATGTTCAAAACTCGTAAATCTATTTTTGTAAACAGAGGAAAATTTGATGAAATCGGATGGACTCTAAATGCAGCGAGACAGCGTGCGTCTAAATTAGTTTATTAATCATATTTTTTTTTATTAAGATGCACAACCACTAATTTAAAATCCCTATATATTCGATTTTTTTTTTTTCAATTTTTCACAGCTCTTTATAATAATTTTACATTAAGTTTTAACTTTGAGAGAACCATGTATATCTTGAGTTGAATATTCATCACATTTAGACATTCCGGAAGCCATTTTTCACTGCAAAAGCCACTATGGTTTTCTGTAAATCTTAATTAGCATGCTATGTACCATATCTACTTCAACATTGTATATCAAATTCATACATGCGTAAATTTGGACTCAAAATATATATATTTCTCATTCAGCAAAATTTTCATTCATGTAAATTCATTTGCTAGTTTAAGTAAACAACAACATCAAAATCATTAATACAGTCAGGAATAAGAAGATGTGGTATGAGTGCTAATGAGACAACTCTCCATCCAAGTCACAATTTGTAAAAGTAAACCATTATAGCTCAAAGTACGGTCTTCAACACGGAGCCTTGGCTCACACCGAACAGCAAGCTATAAAGGGCCCCAAAAATGACTAGTGTAAAACCATTCAAATAGGAAAACCAACGGTCTAATCTATATAAAAAACGAGAAACGAGAGAAACACTTATGAACCACATCAACAAACGACAACCGCATCAACAAACGACAATCACATCAACAAACGAAAAGTATGATATCTTTATGATTTATCTTACGGTATGGCTCATTGTCATTGTTGGCGGCCTTTTAATGTGTATATATCCACGTTGATGTCCTTTGGATTTGTCTAACACTTGTTTCATTTGCAATCACAAAAACTTCTACTTAATTTGTTGGGAAAAAAATTTCAGTTATGCTAGCACTAGACATATTTTAAAACCCAAAACCTAAAACAAATGTAAAGGAGCTATGACAATCGAAAACGACAAAACGAAAACTGGACCAGAGAACAAAATCCAAGTTGATTTTAAAAGTTCTAATAACGTGTTCGAATGCTTCATTAGAAAAATTGTAAAAATGGCAAGACATACATCAGACACGAACATTGTCATCCACCGATTAGACATGCATGCAATCTAGTTTGATTAATAGTTTAAACTGTTTGCTTGCATGACATCATTGATCTTAATATATTTGTTGACTCTTGATATTTTAACGATATTTAAACATACGAACAGAACCAAGTAATATTTAAAAAAAAGATAAAGGTTTCTTTCATGTAAATGATCTACATGCGAGAATCACCAGATGAATGAAATACATGCAGCAGCACGTATATAAATCTTTTTTTTCCATCTTTTTCTGTATTATCTTTCTCAAATATCATGATTAAATAAGAGAGCTGCGGAAGATACCAAAGGAATATTCCAACTCATAAGTCGTTGAAGACAAACTGACAAAGCCACGGCAATTTATGTTATATTATGTTTTGAATTATAGTGAAAAAGTTGCTATGAAATGTACCAAGTCAGGAATATGACAGTTGTTATCAAATAGTTCGTTTCTATGTATGTTGGCGTTTGTTTTTGTTGCATTTCAGTGTTCCTGTTGTTCCTTTGTTTTCCTCTTATAGTTGATGTGTTTCCCTCGGTTTTAGTTTGTAACCAGGATTTTGTTTTCTCTCAATCGATTTATGACTTTTGAACACCGGTATACTACTGTTGCCTTTATTTTGTAATACGCAGTAGGGGATGACTTGCTAAGTTTGATAAACATCTGTCTTATCCGTTTTGTTTGTTTTTTGCAAATCAACTAAAACATTTCGTCGAAAAAGGGAAGCTTTAAAGTTTTAGATTATCGTCAAAGAACAAGAAAGAACATTTTATTCTGTAGGCAGTACTTCTTTAATATAACCTTTTCTAATAATACTTGAAAAAAAGTTGTAGTTTTAATTATGTTTGTGTAATAATCAAACTTTTTTTTATGAGAAGCAAAACGCAAAAGTAATTGCAGTGCTTCAATTTAGCAAAAAAGAGATTTTTACGGGTGGTATATATTAAAACTTTTAACTGAAAAAAGGAAGGCGCATAAAGTGTGTTTTCCGAAACCTTTATCATTATTTTGTAATTTCATTTTGATGAATTGTTCTATATGACTTAGGCCTGCCGGGGAAACAACGTTGACCACGGAATAACAACAGATGCAGAAGGTGACATGGAAAATACACAGATGATAAGATTTTCATCGAATACTGATGTATTAGTTTCCTATGCAACTGTAAAAGGTAACGTAGTTGAGCATGATAAATTAATATCCTCTAAATACTGTTCACTTGATTTAGAGGTTATTAGTGGATTAATAGGGTCCCGGCGGCACAGGCTCCCTTCTCAATAAACAAATGTTATACGTGTATCGATATAAAACCTCGAAAGTATTTGAGCAAAATAAATGTATGCCTTTTAAATATTTTTCACTAGGTAGAGAGGTAAGTGGGAGATTGATAGGATCCCTTATCAATAAACAAATGTGGTACCTAAATAATATATTTGATTTAAACACCTGACCCCTGAAATGGAAAAAAACAAAATCCTAGTGGAAATAATGTGTAAATTCTGAAGTTTTATGTACCTTATTTATTTCAAGTAATCTTTACATACTGTTCAGAAGCGTAAGGTTATAAGTCGACTAATTGGGATTTGATAAGCTATATACCAAGAAGCGCTAATATAAAATAGCAATGTTTGCGGCATCACATTTGTTTTACTCTTTAATCCTTTGAATATTGTTTTTAGTCCCCTACCGACGAAGTCGAAGGGGACTTATGGTTTGCACTCCGTCCGTCTGTTTGTCTGTCTGTCTGTCTGTCCATCCGTCAGTCCGGCAAATCAGTTTTCCACACAATTTTTCTTTATGCTTGAAGATATTGATTTGATATTTAATGTATTATTTTATCTTGTTATTTCTCGTTTATGAACGGCTCTGTCTGCAGCTTATTTAGATAATGTATGTGTGAGATAAAACTCAACTACTAAATATATGCTCCAAACTTGACTTCTAGTGAACTCCAGCAAAATTAAATTCCTACACCAATAAAAACTGACCACCACGAAATAGCTCAAGTGTTGAAAGTGGCGTTAAACACCAATCAATCAATCAATCAACACGAAACGTTAAAGAAAAAACGGAAGTTAACTGGTATGTTCTGGAAGGGTTAACAGTTCCTGGTTCACAAGAGTATTAAAGTGACGAGTAAGGAGTTTGAATGAAAAACATATTTTATATTATAAGATATGTCTATTATATCAGGTCTAAAATTTCATTATTTTCAGATTTTGTTGCCTACAGAGATAACCGATATGGATCTATTTATATAAGGAATTTATCTAAACTTCTCTTTCAACAAGGATTTACAACAAAACTTACAGATATATTAACTGAAGTCACTGCTACCACATCTAGAGAGTTGGCCAATGTTTGCCAGGTTCCTAGTTTTACATCAACTTTGACTAAGTCACTTCTATTTACACGCAAAAAAAGAGTAAGTTATTTAAGATCAAACTTTATTTGATCATTTGGGAATGATATTTCAGTGAAATGCATCGTATATTTTACATGTGTAATTATCGTGACATCTAAACTCATATTTGATAGAAAAAAATCTTACAGTCATAACTATAAAATTAATGTTGTTGCAACATAATTTATTTAAATTCTTTTAAATGGTGAAATGTAAGCCTAAACATCATAATCTGACTTCATTAACATGTTTTTCCCCGTCACTCTTTCTTTCTGCTGTGTTCTTGTTTCAATCTGACATTAAACCTTTATCTTATGTCTTGCTACGTTTTCGCCGTCAGTCTTTTTCAATTTCTCATGAAAAAAAAAATGTTACTGACATTTTTTGTTTAGCTGATTACAGCTTCGACCTTCGACCTATATGTTATAGTTTATGAGATAAAAGACAAAAACACGAAAATTAGTAAAAAATCACCTTTTGAAGCTACTACTCCGTAAGGAGTCGGTTTTGGTCACATTGACCTGTTGTAGATCTTGTATGTCTTGTATTGTTGATGATTTTTGCTGTTTACAGGTTTTACCTATTTAGTAGGGTTTTCGAGATAAAAATGCACATGTTTGCACATAATCCGGTGACGGTGAAATAAACAAAAATCATCTGATAAAAGAAAATACACTAACTACAAACCAATCGAAATATAGAATACTCTATACCGTGGAATTAACAAGGATAAAAACTGCGAAGTATTTGACTAACAGAGTTATGGACTCTGCTAGAAGTATATAATTGTGATGCTACACATACAGTCTCTACTGATATTTATCTAAATGTTGAACTATTATTGCAGGTAATAAAAAAGACTTTACATTATGATGATGGGACGCATGAAGAATTTGATAATGATGAATCGTTAGGACTTCCGTGAGGACTATAACATAAGAACCTCTTGTCCCCTCTGAAATCTGTCGATTGATACATGGGTGGTAGAAGACAGGTATTCGTTGAACTGAACTATGATGAGACCGCGTGCCGATAAAATAAGTTCAATTCTTGAAAAGGACGCGACGTGCAGAAAAAGTAAAAATGTAAAATGAAATAATAAATGAATGAATCATTAACAAATGATGAATGTTTGTTGGCATAATTTTGTTTTTGTTTTGTATTGAAAAAAGTTCGAGTAGACCAAAACGGCAATAAAACCCATTAATCAAGAAATGCAGACAACACATTGAATGAAAGAAAAACAATGCAATAAAAAGAAAAAACGACGTTCCACAAAACCCTACACAGAAAAGACTTAACATCACAACCCCACAAAAAAAAGTGAACTCATGCGCTACAGAAGGTAAGCAGATACTGTCCAAAATTGGTGATGCTTAATGACATTTAAAAAAAGTGGGATGTTGCTTTCGGTGATAAGTCATAAACGAGGACAGGAGGAGAGAAACTGTGGCTACAACAAATGCCATCCAGTAGCAAATATTGCATACATTTCATGGCGAGGACGTGTTAATGTGATATCAGAGACATATATACAAATGTCTCTGGTGATTATGATATGAATATGACCCTGCTTCACGGTGGGTAAGGTTGTCCTGCGAGAGAATGTTCTATGTTGGTGATTTGGTCCTCACCGGTGCTGGTGGGTCCCAATTGTGTGCTGATGGCTTTGTTAACATAGTATCGGAACGGCAATAAAACAACCATTATGCTGTTAAATTTTTCACTAATACAGTATACGTACCTTGGAAGGTATATTACTATGATTATTTATTGCAAATATCTTTCAAATTCGCCGAAACGAAATTGTCCTGATGATGTGCTGATGATTAGAAAAAACGGTCCTGGTTCTGTGCACCTATGTCCTGGTTTTGTGCCTTAAAATTTTGTCAAAAAGTGGCAAATATTCAAGATCATTGATACAGAAAATGTGTGTAATTGAATGATATTTGATTACAGCAGATAATCATTTTATCCTGAAATCATTTTTCAACATGGAGGGGATCCCATTTAGATATTAAAAGACAAATGTATCTATTAGCTATTAAGCATCATTTATATGTTGAAATGTACTAGTATATTATTTATTTATGTATTTCTTTGTCCTCAGTGTTCTTGCATTTATTTGTACTGTATTCCTGTCACGTTATGTCATTTTAACGGTATTTTTAACATTGCCATATAAGCGGGATACTAGCCATAAAACCAGGTCCAACCCACCATTTTTTCTTGAAATGTCCTGTACCAAGTCAGGAATATGGCAGTTGTTATCAAATAGTTCGTTTCTATGTTTGTTGCATTGGCGTTTTGTTTTTGTTGCACCTCAGTGTTTCTGTTGTTCCGTTGTTTTCCTCTTATAGTTGATGTGTTTCCCTCGGTTTTAGTTTGTAACCCAGATTTGTTTTCTCTCAATCAATTTATGACTTTTGAACAGGGGTATACTACTGTTGCCTTTATTTACTGTACTGTAAAGCCTTTTGTCAACACACAATTATTTTCTTATCTTTTGTCAGGGGAGGGCAGAATTTTCGAAAGTTTAAAAAAACAAATTCTATTTGAATAAACAGGATGTTTTCAGATGTTAAGAATAGACTAATAACCCAAGATGACACACACAAAAATTAGATTTTTATTTTAAGTTGTGCATTTTTAAGATCCAAAAGTAGTCCGTCATCAAGGGCTTTTGTTAAAAAATCGATGGTTCTTTTTTTTAAATATATTTCATGAATTTCATGAATGATATAATAAATATACTTAAATTTTAATTGAAAAGTGAGTGAACAAAAATAAAAATACAAGTAACAAATACACTTTTAGAAGTTCTAAAATATAGAACTGCTACTGAGCTATTGATGTACAGGAACATCATGTTACAAAGTGGATTGGAACCACAAATGCAAAAAAGTTGCAGGACAACTAGCAGAGAAATAAATAATCTTTAGCCTTGGATCCAGGCCCACTGCCATAGACTATGCAAAATCTCCAAGTCAATTTGTGACAAGGTATTTACTGTAGTGTTCAAGTTCCTTTGTTCTACGAGGCATAATTCCGAAAATATTTTTTTCATTTTATATATATGGATGTTTGCACAGCATGGGTTTCTATAATAGGTATTAAAGGTACCAGGCTTATAATTTGATACGCCAGACACGCGTTTCGTCTACATAAGACTCATCAGTGACGCTCAGCTAAAACCCTTATGGTCATTTTAAATGTTATCATTGTTTAAAACGTTTTTTTGTCACTGCATTTATGCTGGCTCTTGTAAATGCATTCATATCATTTCATCAATCAGTACCAACATTTTGATGTGTGGTAATAAGATAAGGAACATTCTAGTTTTTCAGAAAGAAAAACCACTTATTCTTGCAGAGACTCATATTAACATCCTAAAAGATAATAGTTTGTATCTAGTTCTTCCATGACCTTATTGTACATGAACATCATATTTTCCTTTCAAAGAAATAAAATCAAGACCTCTGAATTGCAAGCTTCTGCTTCTGCAACCTATGGAATTTCTAGATGTTGACAAAAATCATTTTCTTTTCAAAATATCATTATATGTAATTATGACCTTCACTAAAAGTTAAGAACCAAAACTATTTAACAAAAACCTGCAGGCCTTGTGGAAAATAAAAGTTTCTAGATGTTATAATTTTGATATTAACTTTTGATGAAGGTCATAATTGTATTATCATACTGAACTAAATATGAGGTAATGCTACTTTTGTTGCATGTGAAGTGTTTTTAGAGTACTTTTACTGTAGAGTAATGTCTACGTTTATAAATCAGAAGTGCAACAGAATCTTGTTGCTGCAGCAATTTTCACAGCTAGTTATTTTTCTGACTTGCAAAAATGCGCCAAATTTAAAAGGGTTATGGTCACTACTTGCAGTTTCCTGCAGGAGTGAGGGTTTATTCTTGGTGATTATTGTACGTTTCCTGCAGGAGTAAGGGTTTATATTCTTGGTGATTATTGTACGTTTCCTGCAGGAGTAAGGGTTTATATTCTTGGTGATTATTGTACGTTTCCTTTCCTGCAGGAGTAAGGGTTTATTCTTGGTGATTATTGTACGTTTCCTGCAGGAGAAAGGGTTTATTCTTGGTGATTATTGTACGTTTCCTGCAGGAGTAAGGGTTTATTCTTGGTGATTATTGTACGTTTGCTTCAGGAGTAAGGGTTTATTCTTGGTGATTATTGTATGTTTCCTGCAGGAGTAAGGGTTTATATTCTTGGTGATTATTGTACGTTTCCTGCAGGAGTAAGGGTTTATATTCTTGGTGATTATTGTACGTTTCCTGCAGGAGTAAGGGTTTATACTTGGTATCAGTAGCAATTATAGTAAAGAATAATAATAATATATACTGAATAAAAGGGATAAAACTGTGGCCATTGTAAAGTTAAGTGAACTTCAAGAGAGTTCCATATTCCAACTCAACAATAAATAACATCTTTATATTTTAAACCATTTATTTTTCCATGTCTATGATTGATGGTGTAAACACAATATTAGACATGCATACCAACACCCATCTCACAATCACCCTCGACAAAATTCTACAGCCATGTTTTTTTTTCTAAAAAAGCAAGCATACAAAAAAAATCTGTATTTAAAACTTTGTAGAAATTGGAAACATTCATACATGTAATCATTTTTTCAAATCCAAGAAATTTAAAATTCTAAAATATTTCACACAATGAAATTTCTCTACTAAATCTGACAGCAGTAATGAAGAAGTGTTCCTATATTTTTGTAAACCATGAAACAGAAGTAAAAATGAAGATTTCTATTTTTTAAAATGAAACAAAACTATATCTTAACTCATCTTAAATGAAAGATTTGTAGATACTGTTTGCTGATTACCAGACTAAAATGTGGTCAATGATAAGGAAAGTAAATACTTCCAAATTATCTCTTTCTGATTTTTTAGAATACTTTTACTTCAAGAAATATAAAATACTCATTAAACAGAAATTTAATCAGCATTGTATATTAATTTTTAGAACATAACCATTATAAACTTACATAGTATCACAATTCAAAAGTGTGAAAAAAGTAATTTGGGTAAGATTTTCAATAATCTAGTTTTATAACCAGTCTTTTAATACTTCATGAATATTTTTCATGCTAATCAATACTATATTGTTTCTTTTTTCAATATTTCTTCTTCTTGAGCTGTCTGCTTAAACCTTAAGAGCTCTGTAATGTACACAATCTATCTAGGGTTTATTATAATTTAAAAGATTTTTTACAAAAAATTTACGTAATTTTTTTTTTAAATTAACCACATTAGAATTTTCCAGTTTATTTGAATGTATTCTTTTAAGTCTTCCCTCAACCACAGCTGACTAAGCAAATAAAAAAAAATATACATGATTTAAAAAGTAAGATCTAATGTTATTAAAACTAATGGTTTTAGTAAAAATCTTAAAAGTCAAAACTCAAAAAAGCAAAACATCTATTTACTACAACTGAAATCAAATGGTTTCTCAACTTCTTCCCAACTCTTAAAAAATAAAATTACCATTTAACTTTACAATAAAATCACTTCTCATTCAAGACAGACACATGTTACCACGGTAACCACAAACATATAACATTAAAAAGTCCTAATCAATATCACAGAATACACTTCCATTTAATATAAATGTATACAAGTATCTGATTTTGTATATCTATCTGTAGAAAAAAAAATGCAAAAGCCTTAAGAAACTAAGGAGCTCTGCTGAAGGCTTGTATTATGTGCTTGATAATATAAAAAAAAAAAAAAAAAATGTATCAATGTTTTCAAAAGTATCTGAATGCCTTCAAACAACACTTGTAATCCATAATAAATTATATCTGCTTAATAGGAATATTTGTAACAAATTTCCATTTCCACTTTTTTTTAAGATCACAAATTTATTGCCTTTGATTTGGTTTAAAATGCCTTACATTTTTAAATACTACTATTGATACCACATTTACTAGGATTTTATTTAACATGGAGATGAATGTCAAAAGATCGTCAGAAATAATAGTTCATAATGACCAGTCACATCCTCTAAAAATGACATAAAAAACTAATTTGTAGATAAAAAAAACTCTTGAAATCTTTCCTCCGAGACAGGCTGTACGCAGTTCTGTGTCAATCTGGACACAT